GGCCAGTGGCTGTGTCTAGCAACTTTACACAAGATAAGATGTAAGAGAGCTCTTCTCTAACCATCAAATGTGATTTAAACTATCTTCAATACCTGCAATAGTTGCAGTGCATATCACATTAGGGTTCTTTTTGTTTACTGCTTCAAGTTTCATTCCCATCTTAAATTAAAGACTGGCTTTGGTAATTCCTTCTTAAAGAATGTCAAAGTTGTGACTTCAGACCCATTTAGAGTTCATAAGAGGGATGAACATTAGTCATGATGACACATTCATCTGGAACCCCAGGGAAGGCTGAAGTAAAGCCCTGTTTCCTCCCCTCCCCCCACGTGTCCTAACAGGCTGTGTGTGTGAGGAATCTATAAGCCTCCTAAAATCACTTTTCTTGTCACTACCATCCAGTGTTAACTATTCTGGCACCTGTAATTCCAATGACTGTGGCAATACATGCTGAAGCAACACTGTAGAGGTAACATGCTTCCTTTTCAAACCAACTTTGAAGTTGTTAGCTAGAGGAAACTTGAACTGTGAAGGAGCACAGGAAGATCAATCTTAATTGTCCTTCCTGACAATCTAATGATCTTACTGTTCTCCCCATGGTAACCCTTTCTGGTGTTCTTTTTCAGGTAATGGCAGCAGGCAAAGCATGGTTCTCTCCCAGGGTCTAGTTGATATGGGAAGTCAGGGCACTACCACCACATTTTGGAGCCAAGTACAGAGGACAAACCTAAGTTTATTGAGATATAATTGACATACAATAAACTTTACATATTTAAAATGTACAGTTTGATGAGATTAGCTTATGTATACATCCCTGCAACCATCACCACATTCAAGGTAATGAACATAAGCATCACCCTCAAAAGTTCCCTCCTGTCCCTTGGTAATCCCTCCCAACCCTCAAATACTTAACACACTGTTTCAAAGTTAAAGTCAAAAAGTAAGAAAACTACTCCACCCATTCAACAAGTCTGGTATGTAACCTTGTCTCTAAAACAATGTGAGGAAATCATAAGACAATTACAGACCATTTTTACTTTTGTACTCAGATGTGAAAAATCTCAATAAAATACTGATTAATTGAATTAATCAACTATGGAAAAAAATATGGGCAATTTTTTGCACCCTAAAGATTCCCCTTTTTATTCTCCAAGGTGTTACATTTTTCATTACATCTTTGCTCATTTTTCTAGTTTTTCTTCCAGTTTCCCTGCAGTTTTAACTCTATAGTTGATAGTCTCATTTTATCCTGACATTACAAAGCAAGTTGGTTGTTTCCTTACAAGCTCCTGGAGAGGAAATGTGTCCTACATGAAGAAAGGATACTAGTAGGTGGCAGTCACCTATATTGCCAAATGAAAGAAACAGAGCAATGGAAGATGTTTTATTCAATTACAATTTTCTTAGGCCTTTCTATTGTCAATCCCTTGAATGAGTCCCAAGAATACCACTGGAAGGCCAGGTATAAAACTTCATTTTGTGTCAAAGCTTCTGAAAAGAGACTGCTGCTTTGACCTGGAGGATAGGGCCCAACAAATAGATGTATGATAAGGCATTAACTTCACATTTGGTCTGCTGTACAGCTGTCTCTGACACAGTTCATGGTATTTAGGATTGATACATGACTAAAAGTTGAAAATCAAATATTAATTGCTAACTTAGCGGTTGAACTTGGTGTTGAGGTGAAAATGGAGAAAATGCTCTACCTGTTAGGATCACAATGCATATGTGTATTCACATTAAAACACTATAAAATTAAGGGCTAAATTGAACAGTGGGGTAGAGAGTTATGGGAGGCTTTAAGAAGGTAAAACTAAACAAGTGAGTATAGCTGCCTGTGGCAACTGAAAGCCAAACTAGTGAACAACATGGGTTTGAACTTCAGAGGTTCACTTAGGGGCAGAATTGTTTTCAATAAGTATAGAGTTGGCCTTGGACCCGGCTCCCCCTGGGTTTGCATATGCAGATTCAATCAACCTCAGATGGAAAACAGTACAGTTGATCCTTGAAATATACAAGGTAAGGGGCACAGACTCACATGCAGTCAAAATTCACATATAACTTAACACTCCCCTAAAACTTGGTTATTCCTAGGTATCCTCAGAGGACTGGTTCTAGCATCCAAATCCACAGATACTCAATTTCCTTACATAAAGTAGCCTAGATCATGGCACACAGTTGGCCCTCTGGATCCGGGGACTTCCAACCAGAAACTAGTACACGTATAAGTGAACCCGCACAATTCAAACCTGTTATTCTAGGGTTAACTATACGTCCTCAGGCTAATCCCTCTGTATAAATTGCACAGTGAGGAAATATGTGATGAGATCACAAACAGTAAGAATGAATTATTGTTAGCTTGAAGTTCATGAACAAATTGTAATAGTGCACATATGCTTGCAAGTTGGTATAACTCAGGTAAAACCTTTCTAAAGCACACACTTCCCCATCCCCCTACTCCTCATCACCCCCACCCATCTTCTGTCTGAAGATATTTAGAGAAGTGTACTTTACTGTTGGGAAGATAAAAGAAACATCTAGGGGGAAACCCAGCATTGCTCAAAATCCCAATTCTCTTTAATCTGCTTTTATGTTTTACTGTCAAATCATATTTTGAAAAGATCTTTGGAATTGAGAAAATGTCCTACCACATTGTGTGAAAAAAATCTTTGCTTACCCCAAAGTCATGAACAGATGGTATTGCTTTTATATTTTATTTCCCAGTTGTCTTTGGCTAATATATAGAACACAATTGATCTTTGTGATTGACCTTGATACCATGACCTTGCTAAATGTTCTTATTAATTCTAGTAATTTTAATAATAGATTCCTGACTTAGGATTTTCTTTACATAATTATGTAGTAATATTGCCTGCAAATTAAACAATATTATTCAGTCCTTTCAAAAAATTCTTTCCTTTTTCTTTACTACGCTAGCTAGGATCTGCTGTACAGTGTTGAACAGAAATAGCAAAAGCAGACATGCTTTCCTTGTCTGTGATCTTAGGACAGGGTTTCTCAAGCTTAGCTCTACTGAAATTTAGGGCAAGATGACTCTTTTTTGTGGAGGCTGTCCTGTGCATTATAGCATATTTAGCTGCATCCCTGGCTTCTCACACACTACAGGATAGTAGCATCCTCTCACTCCCCAGTAGTGACAACCTAACCTGTCTCCAGAAATCACCAAATAGCCCCTGGGAGACAAAATTACCCCCAGTTGAGAACCTCTGTTAGGAAGAAAATGTTCAATGTATCACCATTCAGCATGATATTAACTATAATTCTGTTTTCAAAATTATACTATTGAAAATTTCAAGCATAGAGAATATTACATTGAAATGGTATACCTACCACCATTCTACCATAAATATACTATAATTGGTCTGGTGCATATCTATCCATCTATCAATGTTTCTATCCATTCATCAATCTGTCTTATTTTTAAACACATTTCAAAATAAGTTACAGACACCAGTACTTTCCCCTAAATATTTCAGTATACATATCATTACCTAAATTTTAATATTTGTTATTCACAGATTTTTTTTCTTTTCAGACATTTGCATATAATGAAATGCAGAAATCTTAAGCAAACATTCAGTTTTGACAAATGCATACATCTTTCTTGAAGTATCTGTTCAAGTCTATGTCCATTTAAAAAATTGGGCTGTTTGTCTTTTTAATTAGTGAATTCCTTATATATCCTGAACCTCAGTCTTTTGTCAAATATGTGCTTTACAAATACATATATATACTTCCTGATATGTAGTTTGCTTATTTGATTTCTTAATGATGTCTTTGGATATACAGCAGTTTTAAATTTTGTTGAAGTTTAATTTATCATTTTCTTTTATAAGCATTGCTTTCTGTTTCTAAGTAACCAGTGCCTAACCCCAAGTCACAAAGCTTCTCCTTTGTTTTCTTCTGGAGGCCTCTTTGTTTTAGGTTATATAAGTAGCTCCATAATCCATTTTGGATGAATTTTCGTGTATCCTGTGAGGGGGTCAACTTTTTCCCCATGTGGATATCCAATTGTTCTAGTATCATCTGTTGAAAGTTTCCTTTCCCCACAGGTTGCTTTGGCACCGCTCATTCTAAATTCAACTCTGTTCTTTTTTTTTTGTAAGATTACTTTAGATACTCTAGATTCTTTATATTCCCATATATACTTTATAATTAGTTTATTAATTTCTACCTAAAAAGCCTACTGGTACTATGATTGAGATTGCATTGAATCTATAGATCTATTTGTGGAGAACTAACATCTTACCATTTCTCTCCCATCCATCTCTTGCTATCCAGAAATATTGTATATCTATACATTTATTTAGCTATTCATGAGTTTTTACCAAAAATATTTTGTAGTTTTAGCATACATGTTTTGCATATTTTTGTTAAATGTATTCATGAGTATTTGCTTCTTGATACTATAGTAAATGGCAGTTAAAATTTTATTTTCCAATTGTTTGCTAATAAAAAATATAACTGATTTTTATGTAACACATAACCTTGTAAATTACATTAATAGCTGAAGATACCTTAGACTTTTCTATAATTTGCAAACACAGACTGCTTTGTTTCTTCTTTTCTAATCTTTATGCCTTTTCTTTCTTGCATTTCGCACAGATATATAGTAAAACGTTGAATTTTATAAAAATTCATAAATGGGCATTGAATTATGTCAAATGTCTTTTCTATATATATTTTAAAACAATTTTTTTAAAGCACCTATTAAAAGCTTGTCCAAAGCACCAACTCAAACAAATCTAGGAAGTAGTGTCTGCCTATTCAATCTGTGCCTTACCCACAACCATCCACCATGACCATGGTGCCACATGGCTTCCACACAAGACCACCATCTGGCTAGTAAGTGACAGAGACTTACAGGGCTCAGACAGGAGCCTTCTGATTTCCAAGCTCCTGTTCTTTCATCAGCACCTTGGTAGCCTTAGAGTAATTAAGTAAGTATAAGAATTCTCATGGCAATGCTTTTATTTTTTTTTATTTTTATTTTCATGAATAAAATGCAACATACATATTATACTGAACAATAAAAGCTGGTGGGACAAAAGGATCATTATTAATTTTTAAGATGGGAGGCAACATAAAACACTGGCATTCCTTGTGATATGATACAATTTTTCAACCAAATCAGTTTTAGAAAAATAGCTGAAAAATGCCTGAAGGAACATGTGTTATTTTTAAGTTACGGTGTGTGTATGTAAAACTATTGAAAATGCTTGAAAGAAACATTTTAATCCATGTCATATAACTTTTTCATTAAGTGGCATATTTATGGAAAAGAATTGAAAATGCCTGTCAGAAATACGAACTATTCAACCCCATAATGTATAGTCTTTTCGGGTGTGTGATGCATTTGTGAAAAACAGCTGAAATATGTTTGATAGAAGGGTCATGTTAATCTCATCTTACTTTTCAGTCACGTGCAATAGAGGAAAAGCAGGTGAAAAATGCCTGCAAGAAGAGATGAATATTAATCCCTACACTTGAAAACCTGCATCTCAATAAGGTTAAACACACAAGACAGTAACTAAGGGACACGCAGTCTCTCAGAGCATACCACAGATCACAGTTTCAGAGTGTTTTGGCTTTAAAGCTTTTGCTAAAAATATTTTACATCATTAAATGTATATTATTAAATGTACACTGAAACTAACTGAAGTGACAATAAGACTCAGGGACAGTTTGTAACAAAAATTGTTAAAGTCCATTAATTTTTTTTCCCAAGAAAGGCAAGTGAGGTAGTTTATACTGTGTGTATGTTATAAAGAAATTAACATTCCAGTTTGTTCAAAGATCATTCACTCCAAGAATTATATCCCCCAGTGAGTGGCTTAACAAAAGGATTCTCTTTTGCAAAATAAAGGAAAAAATTAGCCAGTTCTAGGCCTTTTTTTTTTTTTTTTTAAACGAGTGTTCCTAAAATGTTAATTTTCTCTAGTATTTTCCTGGATATTATTTTCCTAACAGTACACCAAGGGCATTAGGGGCAAGGTGGAAGCTATTAAAAACAGAATTTACAGGCCCAATATCTGACTCTGCTTTTGTTTCCAAATATACTATTCACTTTTACAGGTTATAAGTATTTTAAAACAACTCTTGATAATGCAAAGATACGTGGCAGGCATTTTTGAATTTTAATTGCAAGGGTTTGTTTATTCTTTAAGGATAAAGTTAGTAAAAAGAACCTCTTTATCCACATAAAAATTTGTCTGTGTATCTACTGAAAGTTCTTCTCTAATCAGTTAACCCTGTGACTGAGAATAAAAGGTATCATTGGATAATGATACTGGTATTGGCATGGCCTTCCATATTATACAGTTATTAGAAAGTTGTCACACATCCTTAAATACATTAAAGTGATTAAAGTCACTGACTCAGTTAAGTCTTTAACCTATGAAAACACACACAAGTGTCTAAGGAATTCAGAAACTTACTGTTTTTACCTGTCATCCGTTAGCCATTTATTTAAAACTGATCACAAGTTAAGTAAATCTTGAAATCTTTAGAGCTTATTATAGGTTCTGATATGTTTTCAGTCAAAAGAAATGAAAATTCCTAATAAAAAATTAAATGAGTAGATTCATGAATTTTCTATATAAACAACAGAATTTATTCTAAATGATAAGAAATACAATGGGATTAACCAATCCTTATTTTCATATATACAGAAGTGTAAGGTAGCTAATTTGAAGAATTCCTTCCATGTGGGTAGGCATATATTACTGCCATCTTATGTCTTGGAACTTAGCAACTACATAAAGTGAAATGTTTGCTCCTGCTGCTTGAAATGCAAAAATGATAAAAGCATTTTTTCAAACTCTTGAAATTCATTATGTAAACTCATACGCCATCAATTACCCACATATTGAAAACTAATGAAATGTAAGCATAAACTTACAGAACATGTTTGTTTTCTAATGGGTTTTCAGGAAAAGGAAATGAAAATTCTCAAACAAATAAAATGAATAGATATTTGAGTTTTCTACAAAAATATAACAAAATCTTAATGACCAGAAATGGAATTATCTACATGTTGAATATAAGTAATGTTTTTATAAACATCAAGGCATAATGCAGCATATAAACATTCTCTTGTATATATGGGCTTAAATTATTATCACATTATGTTTAAAGGCTTGGTAAGCAGATAATGTTTTCTGCAATTGTGAGCAACTTTGTCTCTTGTTTGAACTGCAAGAGAGAATCATTTGAGTGTTTAAATCTCATTAAAACTGATACAAAGTCATCAAAATATCAATCTGTGGATTTAATCCAAAGCATGTGGGATAAATGAGACCTCTGCCTCATTTCTAGCTAACTCTACAAGGGCTGTATCTGCATTCTCAAGATGAAAGGCAGAGCTGTCTGACCTCCTCTCCTCCCCTCCCGCATATTTTAGATTTGCTTTCAATTAGAATCATGGGGGACTGTGTGTTCTTATCAACTGTAGAATTGCAGGTCTGGAAAATTGGCTCCACAGGATCTTGATAGAGATACAGTTTTCTGCTTACAAAATATGCATCAGATTTTAAAGGCTGATGCTAATCCACAGTTCTTGGCCATGACTATGATTGATGAACAGAAACAAAACCTGCTTTTACAGCATATAAAATCTGAAAGTAACAGTATTTTTCAGCACTCTTGGATAAAGGCAGTTCTGTATTTTTAAACTGGGGCTGCAAAAATGACTATCTACAGTTGTAAAATATAAAAAATGATATGTTTGGTCAGAAAAGGAAATCAATGCCTGGCACATGGAAAGCTATTCGTTGAGCACCATAATCATGATGTGAAAAAGAGAGGCTCTGTGACTTTTGACTACATGGAAGGTTATGAAAACATAAGAGTACCCTTTGTCAAACTAAGCTTGCCTCAAGGGCCCTGTACCCATAAGGGAACTAGTTTGAAAAATATCAATTTTCACCATCCCAAGAAAAAGAAATGTTCATTTGCACCAGAATGCTGATTGTCATGATACAGTACAACATACATAACAATACGGTATCTTTAAACAGAAATTCCCCCTTCTCCAATTCTGGAGTAAGTCAGAGCATAAATATTGTACGTGTAACTTCAGAAACTGATTCCCGTTGGAAAGTAGATCTGAATTATTTTATAGAGTGAAAGTTACTGATATTTCTGGCATTCTTGCTCAAAAAGGTCAATATATGTATATAACGTAAGTATAAAAGTCTTATTCCACCTCTTGTGTTTGGTAGCATTTGCTCCATGAAGAAGTGTTTCCTGTCCCTAGGTACAGGACCAAGTTTATTTCTGCTGAAGTCAAAGTACTAGAAAGAATTAGAATTCCCATTCTAGGCTGGCCTTTCTTCAGGAGGGATCACAACCTCTTTCCTTCACTCTTATCAAGGAACCGTCATGAGAAAGCTTTAGCTCAAGTGGTTGACCATATCCTCTTACACAGTTCATGTTGACAATGCCAGGAGACACCACTTCGGCCGAGAAATACCAAGAGGGTTATAGGAACAAACATGTCAAAAGCAGTCTTTTCCCCCCTACTTAACGTAGAATTTTCCTGGCATATAATACATAATAGCTGCCATCTTGAGGGTATTTCAAAAACTCGACTGGGGTTTAATCACCCATTCTGCTTGAGGATTTACATGATATACATCCAATATGTAAGCATCTGGATCCAAGCAATGCTGTCCTAAAAGAAAGAGAAAATCAGAGCATGTTTTTAGGAGTAAACACTTCTGCCTGTGTGTGTATAAGGTTTGAATAAGGCCAATACAGTTTTCTTAGCCAAAAGTAGGTACAGTGAGCACTTTCGTTATTGTTTATAGAGTTGAATACTTTAGTTATTAAGTACTTTCATACCGTTACTAATCACTCGACAAGTGATCAACAATTAAAATATATGAGACCAAAAAAATTTAGATGGCGAACATCAGAGTGTACTTACACAATCTAGATGGCATAGCCTACTACTGTAATTATGTGTGCTGTGTTGTTTTCTTAAAAAAATATATCTTTATTGATTTCAGAGAAAGGAAGGAAGAAGGAGAGAGAGACAGAAACATTAATGACGAGAGAGTCATTGATCGGCTGCCTCCTGCACGCCCCTGACTGGGGATCGAGCCTGCAACCCGGGCATGTGCCCTGACTGGGAATCGAACCGTGATCTCCTGGATCCTAGGTCGATCCTCAACCGCTGAGCCACGCTCAGCCAGGCTACGTGGGCTGTATTTTTATAGAACTGGCAGCACAGTAGGTTTGTTTACACCAGCATCACCACAAATACATGAGGAATGTGTTGTGCTATAATATCATGACAGCTACAATGCCACTAGGCAAAAGGAATTTTTCTGCTCCATTATAATCTTATGGGACCATATATGCATTGTTGACAAAAAGCATGACTGTAGACACATTTTAAAGTTTCTTAGCAAAACCTGCCTATCTTCCTTCCTTTCTTTCTGGCTGTTAAGTACTTTAAGTAAATCCCATGTGAAATTGTGGAAAAACAGACATACCAACCATAGGCAAATTGTTCCCTAGACTCACCACCTCAATTAGAAAAAAAATGGAAAGCACTTGTTTCGGGTATAAACTGATCATTTATATTATAATACCTGTCCTCTAGTGGTTTTACAGATAGTAACCTGACCAGGACTAGAGAAGATTAAAAGCAAATTCATTTTAGTTTTACTATGGAGGCAATGCCCATAGGCAGGAGATCGGGAAATAACAAAAAGATCATTCCATGTGGCAAATACATTTGAAAATATTTATATACAGTGTGTTTGAAATGTAAAGTCTGAAACAAATTTACCAAGATCTGATGGCTTGCTTGATTCATTCACTTACCAAATATTTATTGAAAGTTATGATATTCCAGGAATTATTCTAGGCCTGGGGCTACAGCAATGCATCAGATAGTCAAAAATGCCTGCCCGCTGGGTGCTTACATTCTAAAAGTGGTAAAGGCAACTAGCAAAGAAGCAAGTGTAATATAAAGCAAGTCTGACAGTAGTAAGAACATTAGAGAACAACCTAGCAGGGAAGGAACATAGAGAAGATATAATCCAGGAAGGCCTCATTGAGAAGGTGATATTTATCAAAGACCTGAATGAGGCAAGGGAATGAGAAATGAATCATCTAAAAGAGAGCATTCTAGGCAAAAGTCAGCAAATGCAACGACCCAAGGCAGAATATGCCCAGTGATTGAAAATACAAGGTTGGTGTTTGAGGGAAAGTCTGGATATAAATGTGAGAGGCATCAGCATACAGGTATATTCAAAGCAATGAGATGAACTGAGCTCCCCAAGGAAGTTAAGTGTAGATAGAGAAGAGTTGGAAGGCCTGAGTCCTACCGCTCTCTAATCTTAAGAAGTTGAGAAAATAACAGGCAAATGATACTTCTGAGTAGCCAGTGTAGTGGGAGGAAAGCCAGAAGCTTAGGTTGTCCTTGAGACCAGGTGAGGAAAATGTTTTTCAAAGAAGGAAAAGATCAACTCAGGTAGTTACAGAGGCAGACTGAATCGTTGGCTTTCACAACATAAGAGTTCTCCAGTGACCCAGACAAGAGAGCAATTCTGATTAAGTGTTGAAAGGCAAAGTTTGACCGGAGTGGTTTCAAGAGAGAACAAGAGGAAGAGAACTGGTGTAGAGACAACTGATTCAAGGGGGTTTTGCTGTAAAGCATAACAAAAACAGGAGTTGACTTGAAGGGGTTCAAGAGAGAATTTTGTAAAAATGAGAAACATGCCCTGATCAGTGTGGCTCAGTTGGTTGGGCGTCTTCCCACACACTGAAAGGTCGCCGGTTCGATTCCCAGTCAGGGTCATGCCTGGGCTGCAGGCTCGATTCCCAGTAGGGGGCGTGCAGGAGGCAACTGATTGATGCTTCTCTCTTACATCAATGTTTCTCTCTCTTTTTCCCTTCCTCTCTCTCTAAAATCAATAGAAAATATTTTTTAAAATGAGACATTACCAGAATTTTTATGCAGATAGAAATGATGCAGTTGGAGGGAAAAGCTGAGAGAGAGAGAATGGGGGAGTAACTGGATCAATGTCCTCCCCGGGCAAAGGGGGACATATGAAGTGAGACATGCATGGAAGCGCTGGTCTTACACAGGAGCACAGATATTTCCTCTGGACTGTGAGGAAGGCAAGCAGAAGACATGGGCATGGAAGAAATAAGAGGGAGCTTTCTTTGGATTCCTTTTCCAGCCTCAGAGAAATAGGAAGAATGAACTTGGGCTGTGAGTGGAAATAGGGAAGTTAAATAAAAAGGGTGTCGTGATTTAGAAAGTTCAATGATGTTCTTTTTTTGTTTTTCATGAGTTTCCAGGAAGAGATTTTCCAACTTTGAGTCACATTTAAAAGACCCAAAGTCTATTCCATATAAACTAAACTATTCACATTTAAATTTTGAAAATATTTTAGGAAGGTCATACTGTTTTTACCCGAGATTAAAAATAATCAGAAGTTGACTGCTTTTGAATTTACATCTAAGAAACTTAAAAAATATACTTTTATAATAATGGCATCACATTCCTTTTAGAGTAACCAGAGAATTTAGGAGTAAAAATTGTTAAAGAATCCTTACCTATATTTCCTCCGATTTCATATAGTCTTTGGTTCTGAATTTTAATGCATTCTGAAGAACCGTGACTGAAAAAAGGAGAAAACAATATAATTTTAACCCTTTCATGATCTGAGGTCAACCTGTAGATTAACTATGGTAACAAATAATTCATTCTGCCTTGAGTGAAATACATCCCATAAATCATCATTATGACTGAAGTTCTGATACCATTTGTTTGTTTGACGTAGACGAGCATCTGAGGCACAGAGAGGAAGGGACTTTTCCAAACCTAGATGGGTGCCCCGGTGCGTCCACGGCAACCTGGAGCCCATTTACCCACAGCTGCCAGCTCTGTTTAGAGGGGCAACCGCTTCTGACTTAGCTCGGCTGGCCGAGGAGCCGGACGCTTCATATTCCCGTCATTGGTCACATCACTCTCAGTTCAAAAGAAGTCAGGTTTCATTTCCGTATTTGTCCAAAACTGAATGGGATTCTCCCCTCAGCCTATGTCACATTTCTAAGTTTGACTAATGCTTTGCTAACACTGATTTTATTGCATGTCTTTGCCCTATAATAAAAGCAAGTCAGAGAAAATGATTTCCCAATTTAATTCTTCTATTCCAGACTAGGATGCTGGGGTAGAAGAGTCTGGAAAGACCCTTTCTGATCTCTACCCCCAATGACTTTAAGGTTGGTTTCTTCAAAAAGATTGTTTTTCCTCTCTTTTGTGAGGAAGAATATGTGTGTTCACCTTTGTTTAAACTGTTTGAAATAATTGTAACTGTGAATGTAGTTGTAAGAAATAATACAGACAGATCCTGTGTCCCCTTTACCCAGTTTCCTCTAACAGAAAAGTCTTGAAAGACTAGTGCAATATCACAACCAGAATGCTGAGTGATTCAGTCAAGACACAGAACATTTCCATCAGCACGAGAGCCCTCCTTTCCCGTCCATAGCCACCCAACCCCATCTCCCTGTCCCTGTTCATACCCCCACCCTTTACCTCTCCATTCTACATTTCTATAAATCTGTCATTTCAAAATGTTATGGAAATGGAAATGTATGGAACTCGTTGGTATTAGCACTTTTTCAATCAGCATAAATCCCTGGATATCACCCAAGTTGCTGATTTTTTATTCCTGAGTAGCATGCCATGGTATAGCTGTGTACCACGGTTTGTTTAGTCATTTACCTGTTAGAGGACACCTGGGTTTTTTCTACTTTTTGATTATTATAAATAAAGCTGCTATAAGCATTTGTGCAGAACATTTTGTGGGAACAGTCTTAATTTTTTTGGGATAGATTCCCAGGAGTAGGAATGTTGGGTTCACATGGTAACTGCATATTTAGTTTTATAAGAAACTATCAAAGTGTTTTACAGAGTGACTATACCATTTTACATTCCCATCGGCAATGTAGGAGCAATCAAGTTTCTCTGCTTTTGCCACTGTTTGGTGTTATCACTATTTTTTATTTTAGCCATTCTCATAGGTGTCTAATGATTAAAGATACTGACCATTTTTTCATGTGCATGTTTGTCAACTGTATCCATTTTGATGAAATGTCTGTTCATGTCTTTTGCCCATTTTCAAAGGAGATTGTTTGTCTTTTTACTGCTGGGTTATGAGTGTCCTTTACCTAGTCTAAATACTAGATCTTTGTTGAATATGTGGTTTGTAAATATTTTTTTCAAATCTTTAGCTTGTCTTGTCATCCTTTTAATGGGATCTTTAAATGTATATTTCAATTTTGATAAAGTCCAATTTATAAATTTTTATCCTTTATGGGTCATGCTTTCAATGTTAAGTCTAAGAATTCTTCACTAGCCTTAAATCACAAAAGTTTCATTGTAAGTAATTTTCTAAAAGTTTTATATTTTACATTTAATTCTGTTATCCATTTTGGGTTAATTTTTGTATAAAATGTGGGGTTTAGATCAAGGGTCATTTTTTTGGCTCATGGATATCCAAGATTTTCTTTCTACAAAAGGTCTACATGAGCATACAGAGACAACTTTGTAAGTAGAAATCTACTGAACGCCCAAATCCCTCGAATGGAATTTCAAGTCCCTCTACTACTGCCCAGGGGTAACTGGTGTTTTAGTGTCAGGGCCAGCGGCAGAAAAGAGTAAATGTTGGGGTTCCTGTTGGCCTCTGTCTACTCGTCTTTTTTTATGTAAGCTTTATATGTATGAGCTTACATAGTAAGTATAAAAGATACAAAAAGTGCATACGCCATGTAACCGGCCCCCATATCCAAAAAAGGAACTTTGTAGAAGCCACTGTGATGCCTTCTGAGTCACTAACCTTTCACCCTCATAGAAAACCACCATCCTGATTTCTAACAGCATGGATTACTTTTACTGGCTACTTCTGTTTTTCTTTTAACTGAAATTTCTATTGAGGTAATTGTAGATTCACATGTATTTGTAAGAAATAATACAGAGAGATTATTCTTTGCCTAGTTCTCCCCAGTATTAAGATTTTATAAAACTATGGTATAATGTCACAATCAGGATGTTGACATTGATACAACCCAACTCATCTTATTTGGATTTACCATTTTAATTGTACTTCATTGTGTGTGTATTAAGTTCACTATAATTATTTAGAGGTTCCTTTATCAACCACCAGAGTCAAGATATCAGTTCCACCACCACAAAGGTACTTGGTGTTGTCCTTTTATAACCACACCCATTCTATCCACCCCACCCCCCACCGCAACAATCAACCCTACCCAACCTCTGGTATCCATTAATTTATTTTACATTTCTAAAATTTTGTAATTTCAAAAATATAAGTATGTAATTTTTTACAACTGGCTCTTTTTGCTCAACATGGATACTCCTTTTTAATATGATTTGAAAGCTTCTTTTTAAGGATACCATCAGAGCTTAACTAGAGACCATCAAATTGTACCTGCTCTCTAATGGACAGATTTAAACTAGTGCTTCTCGTCTTTTAAAAATCTCAAGGGAGATGTTTATCCCTGAATAAGCATGCCTAGACAAAAATGATTATTTATGCCCTTTTAAGGCAATTTATGGCTGATATGCAAAATTATTTTTTTGGAAATACCATTCTGATGCCAAGGTTTATTGAAAATATATTTTAAGGAAAGCAACAGCTATGATGTTCACTTAACTATATAAACTTTATCTGATATTGGCATATTAAAGCCCACGAGAGCCTGAAATAATGATATTCCTGGAAATCTATCAAGAGATCTACAAAACTAACTTGCTATAATTTTTATTCTAATAAAAAGTAAAACTCATTGAGTAAATGAAGACACCAAGATAGAATAGGTTTCCTATTAAGAATCCCATTTGTAATCTTACACAAAAATTAACTCAAAGTTGGTTAAGACATGAATGTAAGACCTAAAAGTATAAAGCTAGAAAAAAATGTAGGTGGTAAGCTCTTTGACATTGGTCTTGGCAATGATTTTTTTTTTACTCTAATACCAAAAGCAGTGGCAACAAAAGCAAAAATAAACAAGTGGGATTGTCAAACTAAAAAGATTCTGCACAGCAAAGAAAAACCATCAAAAATTAAAAGGTAACCCACAGAATGGGAGATAATATTTGCACACCATATATCCAACAAGGGATTAATATCCAAAATATATAAAGAACTCATTCAACTAAATAGCAAAAAAGCAATTCGATTTAAAAATGGGCAGAATATCTGAATAGATGTTTTTCCAAAGAAGACATACAGATAGCCAACAGGTACATAAAAAGATGTTCAGCATCACAAATTATCAGGGAAATGCAAATAAAAACCACGAGAGATAACCCCAGATCTGTTAGAATGGCTATTATCAAAAAGATAAAAAATAACAAGTGTCAATGCTGTGAAGAAAAGGGAACCTTTGTGCACTGCTGATGGGAATGTAAATTGGTGCAGTCACTATAAGAAAAAAACAGGATGGAAGTGGCTCAAAAATTAAAAATAGAACTACCGTATGATCTGTCAATTCCACTTCTCTGTATTTATCCAAAGGAAACAAAAACACTAACTTGAAAAGACATATGTACTCCCATATTCATTTCAGCATTATTTATAATAGCCAAAGTATGGAAACAACCTAAGTGTTCACTGATGAATAAATGGATAAAGAAAGAATATGATATATCTTATGGAATAGTATTCAATGAGCAAACAAATGATACCTTGGAATTTGCAATAATAACATGGATGGAGCTTGAGGGCATTATGCTAAGTGAAATAAGTCACAGAGAGAAAGACAAATACCATATAATCTCACTTATATGTGGAATCTAAACAACAACAAAAACCAGTCTCACAGATTTAGAGAAAAGATTGGTAGTTGTTAAAGTAAGGGAGTGGGATTGTAGAAATAGGTAAAGGGTGTTTAAAGGTACAAACTTCCACTTATAAAATAAATAAGTCATGGTGATGTAATGTACAGCATGATGACTACAGTTAATACTATATGGCATATTTGAAAATTGGTAAAGAGTAGACCTTAAAAGTTCTTATCACAAGAAAAAATGTAACTATGTACAGTGACAAATATTAACTAGACTTACTGTGTGATCATTTTGCAATATATACAAATATCAAGTTATTATGCTGTATACCAGATATATTATGTGTCAATTATATCTCAATTAAAAAAATAAAAAATAAGAATCCCACCTGTAGAAATTCCTTTAAAACAAAAGAAAACTTCTGTTACTGTCAATTCTCTGGTCTACTAACTTCTTACCCTACTTTTAACTTTTCATTTATTGGTTAAGTCCCCAAAGTGACAGGTTCTAATTTTTTGAAACGGCCAAATTTGTAAATTCCTGGAAAGTCACTCATCTGATACAAGTTCATTGTCTTTGTACAGAGAGCCTTATTCACTTTTACTCACCTGTTCTCATATTGAAATTTTGCGAGTATGTCTTTGGCTTTGGTTTGACTATTTAGTTGAATGGCCATGGACACCTTCGAGAGACGTGGAGCATGGACCCTTATGACTCCTTCTGGCACATCAGACTGACAATGAGGAAAAATTCAGTACATTCTGTCAAACTAGGATGAACATCAATCAGTTCAATGATTGTACTTAAGAGATATAAAAATCAATGGCGCTCTGAATTAGGAAAACATGAAAACATGACTAGTATTTAACCAGAATGAAACACTATTTTCTTTTTAACAGGAGAGAAAAAAAAAACTTAACCTGGGATTTTACTGTCACAACACACTTACGTCTTATTTAAAACCTTAAAAATCATGAGGAGTAGAATTGGGTTATGCCAAAAAAAACCCCAAAAACTGTTCCTTGAACAATGTTCTAAAAAACCCTATTGTAAGCAGAATTATATATTCCAATATATTATCAACATGAAAAATTCAAGGATCAATTATAAAATATAACTTTTTAAATATCCCTTTTCTTTAGTTAGCCCAAAGTTAAGTCCAGATGGACACTTGAACTTGATCCCTCAAAGTGTGCTAATAACACTGTGAAGAGCAGAACACAGGCTGCTACTGGGGAAGAGAATGTCCCTGCTTTCATGTAACATCACTGGCTTGGGAACTTTGTAGGTCCCATCAAAATGAAATATTCAAAAAATGTTGCTCTCTAATTAACAGAAATTTGTTTTGTCAGGATTGACTGGAAAATTCCTTTGTTTCAAAATTTTGAGTGTTTTAAAGATTAATTCTCTAATTAGAGATGAAAAGAAATAAATTTCTATTTGTCTGGCTACTCCTCAGGTAATTATTCTAAATCTGCATATTCTATTCACAAAAGGGAGTATTGTTGATGCAGGTTTATGTGAACTGATTCAATATGTACCCTAGGAGGAATATGTTATATATTGAATTGTGTCCCCCACAAAGATATGTTGAAGTCCTAACACCCAATACCTGAGAATATGACCTTATTTGGAAATAGAGTCATTGCAAATATAATTAGCTAAGAGGAGCTCATAATGGAGCAGGGTAGGCCCTTAATTCAATATGACTGGTTGGATTAAGAGAAGAGACAGAGGCAAGAAAGAGACAGTGACACATATATAGGGTGAATGCCATATAAAGATAGAGGCAGATACAGAAAGTACTGATAAGCTTGTTGTGCCACACTAAAAATGTCAAGTTTGAAGAATATATCATGACCAAAATTATACACAGATATTCTGGATGTAGCCAGGGAATGCTATGTAGGAAGTTAATAATTAGGGAGGAATGGAAATTATTTGTTCTCTTACCATTCTTCTTAAAGAGGGTGATTTTTGTAGTACCTTTGAAGTCTTGGGGCTTGTTACCTAAATAAAACACATTTAGTTTTTAGCATTGATGTTGGAAAGACAAGCATATAGCTGCTGCTGGAAATAAAACCTGGTGCAGTCTTTATGGAAAACATTTTGGAATATTTACCAAATTTTAAAACGTGTATGTACTTTGATCCAACAATTCCAAACCTACAAATTTATCCTACAAATATATATCATTTGTGAGAAATGACATATAACAAGTTTATTCACTGATGCAAAATCTTAATAGCAAAAGACTGGAGACCATCTAACTGTTCAATAATATGAGACAGCTTAAATAAATTATGATGTGTCTGTAGAATATCACACAAAAGAAGCAGAGAAGAAGGCCTTGTGGACCGATGTGGAAGAATCACCATGATTTCTTAAGTCAGTGAAGCAAGATGCAGGATAGTGTTTTATGTGTTAACATTCATGTTAAAAAAAAAAGGGGGAGGACATTTACTCATGTTTGCTTGTATGTGCTTGGTGNGGTTAACATTCATGTTAAAAAAAAGGGGGAGGACATTTACTCATGTTTGCTTGTATGTGCTTGGTGCCTCTCTAGAAGTATATACACTTGCAAGTTCCTGTGTACACATAACCTGCCATGGGTAACATTGTTTGTATCTGGGAGGGAAAGTCAAGGTAACCAATTTTTATTTTACTGAATTTTGTAACCTTTCAATGAACTATGTATTCCAATCAAAGAATTAAAAACATGGTATAGTTCAATTGAACTGAAGAAAGACTATTTCTTCATCTTTAAGTGTTGTTTTCATGATACTTTAAATTTGGCCTTGGTTCTAATTTACAATTAAAACATTAAAATAATTGACATTTATATAGCACGAGTTGATGCTAATGATAACTCTGGGAGCTAGAAAACATTACTTCCTCCTCCCCTACCCTGATTTATAGTAAAGTTGAGATTCAGATAAAGACTTTAATTCTCCCAGGCTCCTAGGGCAAAGCCTGACCTGACCTTAGTTTCAGCAGCTCTGAACATATACTTTTGCCATTAAAATTTTTCAGAGTGAAAATGGCAGAGTAAGGAGTCCAAAAGTTTGTCCCTCCATTCACGCAATAAATAAACTGGCAAAATTTGTATCAACTTTTTCAGAACTCAGTATCCCTTTGGGATACTAACCCAAAGGTTGCAACCAAGGAATGCCTAAAGTAAGAAAAACAGCTGAATCTTGGTAAGAACAGTGAACTTTGTGGGTTTTTAACTTACACTTTCCCCGTCTCTGTTCCCTAGCTCATTGATAACCTTGAAAATGACAGCCTGCATTACTGGTACAGAAACTAGAGGGAGTAAAAGACACCTCACTCACAAAGAATTCTATTTGTTCTGACCTGTCTGGTGGTTCCCTGGAAGACTGGCTCAAAGGGTTTGCCTTTAGCTTGCTTAACTTGGAACTTGATCAGTGCTAAAATAGTGCTATGTTGAAAACATCTATAGGCAAATGTTTTAGTCACTGTTGCCTGGTGCAGTGGGTAAGAGTTGGGGAAAATGAGAGACTAAAAAGCTTTGGAGGCAAGCCTAGAGATGGACATACTTTGAAGAATAAGGGCTCTGAAAAGCTTCCACATATTCCAGAGAATCTGGAAGGCCATGTGCATGTCCAAGGCTGTGCACATGTTCAAGAAAGACCTGCGAAGAACTTAAACTTTCACCTCTAGCTGACATTCAGGCTCTGTCCAAGCAGAAAGTGAAGGTTCAGGCAGAGCTATAAGGATCCCTGCTCCAGCCTTCTTACCTAATATTTTACTGAAAGTTCTAGCCAGGGCAATTCAACAAGAAAATATAAATAAATAAAAGGCACCCGGATTGTAAAGGAAGAAGAAAAATTATCTCTCTGCATAGAAAACATAGGGTCAAATCTTTGTGATCTTGGATTTGACAAAGGATTCTTAGGTATGACAACAAAAACATGATCAAAAAAAACAGATACAAGTACACTTCATCATAATTAAAAACCTTTGCGCATCAAAGGACAATATCCAAGAATTGAAACTACAACTCATAGAATGAAAAAATTCTCAAATTATACATCTGATAAAGGACTTGCATCTAGAATATATGAAGAACTTTTACAATGTAATAAAAATGCAAATACCCCAAACAAAAAAGAGAAAGGATCGGGTAGACATTTCTTTAAGGAAGATACACAAATGGCCAATAACACATACATGCTCAACATCATTAGTCATCAGGAAATACAAATCAAAACCACAGTGAGATACCACATTTTACCCCTTAGGTGGCTAGAATAACAAAATTCTGGTAATATGTGTTGGTGAGGATATGGAGAAATCTGAATCCTCATACACTGATGGTGAAAATGTAAAATCGGGCAGCCACTTTGAAAAACAGTGACAATTCCTTAGATGTTTCAACATACAGTTGCCAAGTAACCCGGCATATTCCCAATGGAGTTGAAACATATATTTACACAAAAACTTGTATATGAATGTTTATAACAGCATCGTTCATATTAGCTAAAACGTGTAACTAACCTAAATGTCCATCAATGGATAAGTGGATAAATAATATGTGGTATATCCATATAATGGAATATTATTCAGCTATAAAAAAGAAAAGTATTAATGCATACTTTAAGTCTGATGAACCATGAAAATATAATGCTAAGTAAAATAAGTCAGCCACAAAAAAATACATATTATATGATTTTTCACTCACTAAAAGTCCAGAATAGGGAACTCTATACAGTAGAAAAATTAGTTATTGTTTAGGGCTGGTAGGTGGAAATGGGACAGATGGGGTTAGAGAGATGATAGCCAAAGAGTGTATTTTTTTCCTGAGGTGATGATATTCTAGAATTGTTTTATTGACTGCATATATCTGTGAATATATTAAAACCCACTGAATTGTTTACTTTAAATAGATGAACTGTATATGTGCATTATATCTCAAAGTTGTTTTTTAAAAAGAATATAAAATCAAATAAAAAAGGAAGAAATGAAGTACTAATATATGTGATAATATGATGAACCTTGAAAACATTTTTCTAAGTGAAAGATGTCAGACACAAAAGGCCATATACTGTATAATTCTGTTCATATGGAATGTCCCAAACAGGTAAATTTAGAGACCACAAGTAGATTAATGTTTTTCAGGGGCTGTGGGGAGGGGTAATGAGGACTGAGTGCTTAATTGGCATGGGATTTCTTTTCGGGATGGTGAAAATATTATGGAATTAGATAGTGGTGATAGTTGCATGGCATAGTGAATATACTAAAACCAACGAATTGTGCAATTTTAAAATAATAAAAACGATGAATGTTCTATTATGTGAATTTTTCTCAAAACAAAAATTTTTTAGATAGATAAATGTCTTGGTTCTACTGGATGTAAAGTCACTTTGCACATTCATCATGTCTGTGATAAATCACCTAGCAGCACTCCCCCTCACCACCTTGGCATTTACCATTCCCCTCCCTGGATGAGCTTTCCTTCCCTTCTCCCTTCAAAATGCTATCCATCCTTCAGCGTGCAGCTCAAATGACACTTCCTCCATGAAGCTGTTCACAGTTCCCCGTGAGGAGCACATTTCTTTCTCCTGTGCATGGTCCTCATACATTGTGTGCACAGCTGATCTGGCACTTAACGCACAGTCACAGCTCTTGTACACCCTTATCTCCTGCATTAGGTGTCAATTCCTTTAAGGGCAAAGTGGGTTGCATGTAATTCTCCATCTTCCTTAAGTCAAATGCTGTGTCTGACACTCATAATCATCCTCAAATTAAATTAAAGCAACAAAGAGAATTCTTCCAAAACCTGTTTCCATTATGTACCTCCACGCAAATAGCTGTGCTAATGCAAATATTCTTCAGGATGCAATGAATTTATACAAAACCACTTGAGCATAAGATATTCTTTCAGTATTCAATCACTAAAGAAATCCCTTTCTCTACTTATTAGATATATTAAATACTGAAATCTAATTCATAGGGACTAAAATGTCAACTTACAGCTTTTGTGAGAACCATTTTAAGTACTTGGCAACATAAAACAATAAGTAATCTTCATGACAGTGATATTTCAAAACTTTAACCAAAACGCACAACACAATAAAAAGACCACAGTCGTCTGCCGTGGAGAGTACTATACACAATTTCCACAATGTGTATAGTCATAAGATTGACATTTTGTGAGAATATAAAAGTTTTGGTTCTAACTTTCAAGCCACTCTGAGGCTCACTATGAGAAATAAAAACCTGGTGGTAACGATATGTGCCTCCCTGTTGATTACCTCCCGCTCTATGGTCTTCCTCCTGAGCAACTTCCTGACACTTGGCAGCTGCTTCTTTAACAACATCGTGGCTTCATTCATCCTTCTGACTTGACTGATTAAGAAACATGGGACCTGGAGAAGGAAAATAGCTTGACTGGAAGGAAAACACTGGAATCACACCTCCCCAGCAGACTCTGTCTTTAGTTATGGTAGCTCCTGGCCACTCAGTATCCTTGCAACGGTGGCCAGGAGTAAAAATTAGAAAAAACTACTAGGATTCATACTTCAAAGAGAGAACATGTTCAGGATCAGCTTTTAAAGAATGTACAAAAATGCCACGGGCAACGGGAGCATAATCTCAACAGGAGCATTTCCTCCCCGTGCCCGGGGCGCTCCCTGCTCCCGGAGCCTTTATGTTTCCGGGGCTGGGAGACTTCAAAGGAGCGTCACAGGCACCACCTTGTGACTCACCTTCCACAGAATTTTCTGGTAGTTGAGCATGAGGCGGATGATGTGGGCTGCAGTGTTTGCTAACCGTAATTCTTCATAATCAGAATGTTTGCTTCTACTGAAGAAAAGGTTCGGTGCCATCACAGTAGAAATGTTCCATATACTCATTCGGTTCTTTGATTCATTGGCAATCACTTTATTGAAGAATGTCATGAGGGCCTACAAAGATACAGCACTGTGTCACACTGCTGTAAATTATCAAAAGCCACCCATCGTTGCTGTCGCTTGTTTCTATACTCACTTGCTGTGCCTCTGGAAAATTGTAAGAATATTCTCAGAAGTATAGAATGGTTAAATGTTACATTCCCCTTTACTTGCTTAAAAGTGCTCATGAGAAATGTGAAGTTTTTATGGCGTTCATTGTATTGGAGTCTCTATAAATAATAGTTTTCATTTTATTATTTTCTTTTATCCTAAACAAGTTTGACAAATATGAAAATTAAATAGTAAACTAGGAAGAGAAAACCCTCCATCTAAAAACACCCCACACAAAACATGTCATGCAGTTTTGTTGTGAAGAAAAGTAATTCTAAAAAACAATCTTAATTTAGGGTATTACTATTAAAAACTATTTTACTGTTTTCTTAGGAAAGGAAAATCCATTTTAAAGAAAAAAAAGAGGATCTCATTCCTCAGTCCAAATGTAAACACAACTGAAAAATTTGTTAATTTTACATTTTGGGTATCATTTTTCTATTGTTTTTTCCATTTTGGAATCTTCAGTAGACTAAAGGAAAATGCTTACATGCAGCTGTTTTAAATATTTTTTAAAAAGCTTTGAGAAAGCTTAATAGTTTGGCTGAGCCACCAAAGTATAAATGCTTATCAGACCTTCTGCCATTCCCCAAGAGGACTGAAATCCTAAAAGGAGATGCTCTTTAGTTTTCCAAGTTTGAATTCTGCTACAGTATTTGTAAGGAGAAAATGGACAGCACATAATAGTAATTATAGTTACCATTATTTGATGATTTATTGTGAGCCGGGCATTATTCTTAGTACTTTATATATATCCACTAATTTCATCATCATTCTAAATCTTGCGTGGTAGGTACTGTTATTAACATTGTTTTACAGATGCGGGAACTAAAGTGGAGAAAGATCGACAGCTCTGTCAAGCATCAGTTCATTAAGTGGCAAAGCCAGGATTTGAACTAAAGAAACCTGACTCTCGAGCCAGAGCTCTTGATCTCTACACCACACCAACTGCAGTGGTAGTTCCAGCCACAACTGAGAATGGGAGGGAGGAAGAATGGGGGGGATTCCTCACGAGTTCCATAATGTTTTTTGAGGATCTTTTATTAGAAATGTATTGAATTTTTTGATAATTGCTGCATCCTCAGTTATATGAAAAGGTAGATGACACTTTGATCCAGAATTTGATACCAGGTGCATTTTTTTTTGATAAAAGATCATTGTTTAGACAAAGCCAAATCCAAACTAATAAATTCCAGCTTTTGGAAAATGACCAAACTGTATTAGAGAAAGATTCTTCTGCCATAGCCAACCCCATCCTTGGGTTGAGGATATGATATAACTGACATCTACTATAATTAACATAGGCGTTTTCACTATGTAGGAGGAAAGGTCCTCGCCAAACTGAAATGTTGATAAGAGGTAGCATTAAGAATCATATTTGTTTGTAGCATTATGTTTACTGACGTCAAAAATATTGGCTCTTTCTAACTCATCCTTACCTCATTTCAAAGATCTTTAACACCTCTTGTACTTATAACACATTTCCTATTGTATACAGAATCAGTATCAAAATAGCAAGAGCAACTTTGATTTTGACCAACATATAGCAAAGACATGAATTTGAAATAAAGGGAGGGATATTTGGGATGAAGAACTATGAAACAGGATTCTACCAAATGTTCTATTATATGTTAATGGAGAAATCACTTTTCTGAGCTTAATTTTTCTAATCTGTAAAATAACAAGATCCTATCAGGTAATTTCTAAAGTTCAGAGATCATAGAATTCTTTAAACTGAATTGAATTTGGAAATTGTAAGGCATGAACATTTAAAAAAAAAAATTTAAATCAATGTCTTCGAATTTCCTTCCCAAGGACACTCATCAGATCTTTTGTCCCTAGACTGAGGTGGGCAGCTGAGGACTAACAATTATAGAGTTTTATATTTTACAACTTACATAATATTCTCATTTACTTCTGACATTATTCCATTTAAGTCTTCCATCTTTGCTTTTCCTACTCCTAACCCTGGCATGTGGTAGACATTTAATGTAACTTAATAGATTGAATGAATGAAACTGAAATATTCAAGAAGACTCCAGGATTTACATTCTTTCTTGTCTTCCTCAGGAGAACAGCGAAGGGGACATGGAAGGGAAACCAGTCTGCAGCATGCTCAGCTGGCTTAGTAATTTGTCATCTTGCTTTTCAGTTTTCTACCTGAGCCATTTCCTCTGACCAATAAGAGCCAATGACAAACCATGAGGTCAATACAACATACCTGAGCTGTGTCCCTGTTGGCATCAGGCAGTGCCATGACCATGAGGTGTAAGGCTTGAAACTGTACTTTGATGTGAGGCCCTCCTAACGAAAAAACAGAAATAACCACATATTTGGAACACCACTGATGTATTCTGACAGCATTTCTTGCTAACATCTGGTGGCATAGGAGGGCTCCTGACAGTTCTCGCTGGTAAAGACTTAGTTTTTGTGCCCAACAATGTAAATTTGTTCTCTTGGACTGTCTATCAACTCTCCTTTCACATCTCATGATGCCAATAGAGGCAGGTGGCCAACGAGACCCTCAAAATAATTCTGGATTTGTATAACATTTCCCTTTCCAAAGTACTTTCACAGACCTTGCTTTACTCGTATACTATAAACAAAAGACTTAAAGCGCAATTCAAGAGAAAATAAATCTTGCTTCCACATAAAGAAGCAACAAAATGCAATTATTAGGAGCACAGGTTCTATAACCAGATTCAAATCCTGCAGGTACTACTTAGTCACTGAGTGACCGTGGGCAGGCTATTTAACCCCTCGTTGCTCTTATTTTATTATTTGCAAAATGGAAGCAGTCATTATACCTACCTCACTGGGCTGTTATGAAAATTAAGTGACTTAGAACTCAAAATGGATTAAAGACTTATATGAAAGAGCTGGAACCATAAAACTTCTAGAAGAAAACATGGCAGTGAGGTCCTTCACATAGGTCTTGGTGATGAATTTCTAAACCTGACACCAAAAGCAAAAGCAGCAGAAAGAAAAATTAACTAGGACTACATCAAACTGAAAAGCATCTGCAAGGGAAAGGATACCATCGACAAAATGAAAATCAACCTGCTGAATGCGAGAAATATTTACAAATCATTATATCTGCAAATCATTAAATATAAGGGGCTAATATCCAAAACATATAAAGAAATCATACAACTCAATAGCAAAAAACACCAAACAACCTGATTTAAAAATGGGCAGAAGAAAAGACATATGAACAGACATTTTTCCAAAGAAGACATACAGGCCAAGAGGTACATGAAAAGATGCTCCCCATCATCATCAGGGAAATGCAAATCAAAACCACAATGAAATATCACCTCACACCTGTTAGAATGGCTACTGACAAAAAGACAGTAACAAGTGTTGGCAGGGATATGGAGAAAAGAAAACCCTTGTGTATTGTTGGTGGGAATATAAGTTGGTGCAGCCACTATGGAAAACAGTATGGAGGTGCCTCAAAAAATTAAAAATGAATTTATCATATGATACAGCAATTCCACTGCTGAGTATTTATCCTAAGAAAATGAAAACACTAACTTGAAAAGACATATGCACCCCAGTGTTCACTGCAGCATTATTTACAATAGCCAAGATATGGAAACAACCCAAATGTCCATTTATGGATGAACGGAAAAAGAAAATGCCCCCCCCCC